TTCTGGAGGCTAATAGCCACTCCAAGCGCAGCAGGTAGGTGAAACTTTCGTCCCGAATTAATTGACACCTTATACCCTGTGCTGCAAATGATGGGCTCTAGCAATCCCAACATGCAGAATCATGCTGTTACATGCCTTGACATCCCTTACTGCTGCTTGCAAATATCCCAACACAAGCTCTATGCTCGTTGATAATGTTGACTACCTAGTGAATTCCGTGTCTCTGAAGCTTAACACTTTTGACATATCACCCCAAGCCCCGCAGGTGCTACTCATGATGATGAGGTTATGTGGGGCATCGCTTATCCCATATCTGGATGACCTGGTTGGATCGATATTTACAGTGTTGGATGCTTTCCACGGCTACCCTAAACTGGTGGAGCTTCTGTTTTCTGTTTTAGGAGCTATTGTGGACGAAGGGGCAAAGAGACCAGCACAACTAGCTATCACAGACTCAGATACCAATGAACCCGTCAATCACCGGAAAAGACCCCTTACATCCCGTAGAATTTCAGACATCGCGAATGAATTTCAAAAAGGAAGGGAGAAGCGAGCTCGAGCCTCCGAACTCGAAGCCGGTGACAGCTTGGAAAAAGAATCTCACCCTAGACGTCCATGGGCTTCCGAGCACGATGGGCTCAGACTCTTGGATGAGGATGAAAGTGATATAGGCTCAGAATCAGAGGGACTGCCACCACCTACCACAGAAGAAAAGACTCTAAGCAGATCTCACACTTTGCTCCTTAATATTGCCAAATCCATTCCACCCCATCTCTCCTCACCATCGCCATTCCTACGACGCTCATTACTTACCATCTTGACCCGCGCGCTACCCATCCTCGCACATGATGAAAACACCTTTTTACCCCTAATTAACGACCTCTGGCCTTCCGTTAGCGCACGAATTACCACCCCACAGACCCTCTCACCAAACTCGACCGCACTTACAACACCCCACACAGGCCCCGCACAAACCCGCAACTTCCCAGCCAGCATCGACGAATCCGGCATCCAGGAAGAAGCATTCGTAATCTCTGCGTCGTGCTCTGCAATCGGCGCCATGTGCGAAGGCGCGGGGGACTTCATGGCATCTCGCATTGAGCATGAATTCCCTCGGTGGAAGAAACTGTATCTCCGCGCATGGGAGCGAGTACGGCAGGACTCAGAACGGGCGGCGGAGAGGCAGCGACAGAGGATAGAGAAGCAGGAACGTCTTAATTCACGCACCGCCACGGGGATGGAGTCGCTAACCCCTGACACTGGCAGCAAAAGCAAAATTCCCGATTCCACAACATCAGTGACTGCACGATCTAAGCCTCCACCACCGCCACCACCACCAGCGAGCACAAAGTCATTCACCCCTCACAACTCCCTATTCCAGGCCCTGACACGCCTGTTTACCACCATTCTCCACAGCGTATATTTAGTAGCTGATATTAGAGACGAAATTTTTGAGTGTCTCGGTGCGGCGATATCTTTCTTTCAGCCCGATTATTACTTCACGTATGCATGGCGCGAGCATACGGAATCCAATAACGAGAAGCAGATCGGTAAAACAGCAGGAGAGCAGAGAGCGGAAGCGACGTCAAGAACGGGAAATAGAACGGGAACAGAAGAATTTGCCCAGGCGATTCAAGCTATGCATGTGCTGAATGCGGATTTGACATGGTTTATATTTGAGAAAGGGAGGAGACAGAGCAGAGGCGGTATCGATGACGGGAACGGTGATACAGTTGATAGGTTGGCACGGGTGGGGCAAAATATTGAGAAGAGGATTACGGATATGTTGAGGAGCCAGCTACATTCGCAGTCGGATTCACCAACGCAGGGAGAGCTTCGTTCAGCAGGAAGCAGGGGGTTGTGGAGGTTGGCGGAGGTGATTGGAGCGTTTTAATGAGATAGGGAATGAAACATTATTATGCCAGTTGTTAACGTATTTTGGCTCGTACTACACGCAACGCATTGGCTACTTTTCGAAGACATCATTTACTTCGAATGCCAGTGCAATCCCTCGTGACTTACCACCTGTTCTTATTTACAACTTTTCGGCGCGGTATGTCGGTTATCAATAACAGAATAGTTTGGGGAATAGTATGTTGAGAGTAATATATAATGAACACTTTAATAATTTCTCTTGCATATGTTATTTAGCTACACCTATAATAAACGAATGGAGGAGTGGAGTTGGACTGTTCAAAACGCAAGCAACGAAATCATTCATCCAAAGAGACCAAAAACGAATGAAAGAAACGATAAGGGGACAGAGGGTTTAGTTGAATTTTATTCTCGTACGATGGACGTAGAGTGGAGCTTGTGAATAAGATCGGTAATTGATACAATTGACCGAATATAACGAAACTAACGGGAAGCAAGGTAAGACAAAAATCGAAACGAATAAAGTGATGGAATAAAGGCCCCGAAAAAAAAGAATGTTGTAGGATGGACAATTGCCCTTGGGAGATGTTACCAGCAGGAGTTTAATCCTCATCATCATCCTCATCGCTCTCGGCAGTCTCAAGCCATTCGATAAACTTCTCAGCAGCCTTGCGGACCTTCCTACTGGTGGCGATGTCGACGTATTTCTTGCTGGCCTTCGAGCCCCAGGCCTTGAGGACTTCTTCCGAAATCAGATCTTCCTGGTAATAAGCGAGTAGGATGGCTGGGACACTTGGGCAGAGATTGGGACGTTCAATTCCAACTAAACGTTCGGTTCCTCCAAGGAATGCCTTTTCATGGCGCTCAGAAGTGATCATCTAAGTAACGTTTATTAGTATTCTAAATTCAAATAGACTTAATAGATAGATTATACAATACCTTCTTGAGCATGCCAGCTCTGGATGGAATTTGCTTAACAATTTTGTCGTCGAACATGGTCTGAGCCAAGACGGCGAGGGTCTTGTGCTTCGACTCAATTCCCAGCTCTTTGGCCTTCATATAGATGTCGATGTCACTGATGCTTGAGACACCTTCCTCAGAACCCTTGGCAGAGCTTATAATCCAGCTACCGAGAAGATCGTAAGCGGAGGCCGACCCATTTTCCCCTTCACCATCATCATCATCATCAATGACGAGAGAACGTTTAACATCGTCGGGGAGTTCCTGAGCACGAGCCTTGACAGCTTCCTCGGAAACATCAACCGCCCAGTCGTCGTCGTCGATTTCTTGGGACTGCTCGATTTCTTTCCGGCCTCAGCTTGATGCGACGAAGTAAGGTCATCATCACTATGGGGCGTGGAGAAGCACCCATCGCCCGTTTTCATCTCCTCCATCGGAGTTGCTATCTACCGGGCTACCATTTGACTCTCCGTTTGCCTCTCCCATTCGTCTCTCCGTCGCCCTTGCCCTTGTTTCTTTCGCGCCGAGACTTCTTGGTGGACTTGTCCTTCTTTCCCTTCTTTGGCTGATTCTTCAAAATGAAACTGCTAAGCTTTTGACGAAGGTCGACATCGGACCGTTCACCACAGGCTTTGCAGTCCAGGATAATGCGGGGTTCTTTGACGACAACTTCGGTTTCTGGGTTCTTGCACTTCTTGCACAAAACGAATTTTACGATAAACCCGTCAAGGTAGTCCTGAAGTTTGGAAGCGTCGTGGGCGCCGTTGATAATCCAGCGATCATCTGTCGGCTTAGCGTTTGCTTGAGCCCCGAGTTCAAATCCGAAGTACTTGATCAAGTCTAGTTCCCAGAGGTTAGTATCAAACTGGCCTTGGCATCGGAACGACAATAAAAAAACGGAAGAAAAACAAGGGAACGAAGATCGGCAGGCATAGTATACTTACAGGCTGGTGGGCGACCCAAAGACTGGGCAACATTGTTGAGATTAACAACAACGGTTTTGATGCCATTGCCTTTGCCTTCGATCTTTGCTTGGAGGCGTTCCATTTTGTAACGGTAAAAGGGATCAGGGTTGTCCTGTTGCATCATGTTAGTATATGTAAGCCCAACATATATTTCGAGTGACAGGAAGAGCTCCGAAAATTGACTTACCCGACGGATGTTGACGGTAGTAGCCATTGTCACGGTAAGAAGAGAGACGAGATTTTGGAATTCTTTAAGAGGCTAAGAAGAGGAGGGATATGGGACGAAACGCGGGAGAGGGGCTGGGGAATGGAGTTTCGATTGCTACAAGACATGCGTATCACGAAATTTGCCCGTGATATCTTGAGTAGGATAGTGAAAGCGGAAATCTCTGCGGCTCGGCTGCGATATGGAAGGGTTGATAGCGTAGGTGAACTCAGAGCAAGTGAATCTCAGCCACAAGATCTGGAATGGTAACTACAAGGTTTTCGCACAGGGCGAAACGTTTGCAGCTTGAGCGGCAGGTGGTGTTCGAAAGCGTTGACGTAGGGCGAATACATAGACAGGTGCTCTATCTTACTTGGTGGCAGAAGGCTTGGGGAACCTGATGGGGAACGTGGGTTGGGCCGAGACAAAGAGATATCTCAGTGAGCACAGAATGGCAGCGCGTTGGGGGCAGCACCGATCAGATGAAGTGGGAAACAATATCAGAATGCCCAGCTAAGGGATAAGATAAAACAATCTGGATAAGCCGGTGTGGTGATGGCGATGGTTGAAGGAGGTTGTGGATGAGCGGAAAAGAAAGATTTTAATTTTAATGTTGGAGGAGAGCAAGGGTGGGCGGTGTCCGAATCCGGAAAAATCCAATCGGCGGCAGAATGTGATTTCTCGGGCTGACTAATCGCGAGATGGGATAGATCACGTGGACGGGCTGTTATGCCCCAAAGAGGAAATTCTGACGTCGAATTGCTCTAATATACGTGAAAAAGGGTCCTATGATTGAGGGCGAGTCATTTCATTCTCTTTTGTGTTCGGTGTATAGAAAGACCCTGGTGTTTCCTATCCTTTGGATTCCCAGGTTGGATGCCGTCCTTTCCATCTGCGCTCTTTATACGTTTCCAGCAATCGAAAAAGCCACGACCACCACTTAAAAAATCAGGTACAGAATCCCTTTGTCCGGGAGCCCCTTGAAAGAACTATGTTTCCCGCGCTTTACGTATGACGTATCCTTTCACCCTATGTATGTGCTTTGTTGCTTGATTCGATTCAGTTTCTGCTATTGACAATGCTTTGTTTCATGTAGCAGAACAATCTCCTCTCAACCTTCTTTGATCTTGTATTAAAGCCATTTAAGTTGACGCTTATAAAATTCATGGAAAATGTTACTTGTATTCATATATTGTACTAGACCCCACTGCCAACTCTGGCTGCTTTCCTGGCTAAAAAACCACCGTGATTTTGGTGCGGGTTGCCGCTATTTGTGGCCTGGCACTGTTCCTGCATGACTATATTCGACCGTGAATGAATGTTGAGAGACAATGTGTCCATACGGGAAACACAAACATATTTTTTAATCGCTGCTCGTATTTTTACTTCTACGGATATCAGCTTGCTTGGAATCTTGATATTGTTTACTAATAGACCTGCAGAGTACAATCACATTTGTCATATTCTCTTCCAGCCGTTACAAGCGTATCCCATAGATTACCATGGATTTGTCCGTATACTTAGTCACAGACTCTTCTCCCGCAATTCTGCGCGGCAGGGATTTGTGTGAGGTAGTTCAAGATGCCATTCAAGGGGGTAAGTTCACACTCAATGGAGTGTACAGCGTATTTGCATTTCTACTAAGTTGCCTTGTTTAGGTGTCACTGTTGTCCAGTATAGAGACAAGCACAGTGACTCTGGTGTGATGATTGAGACTGCAAAGAGACTCCACGAAATTACAAAGAAGCACAATGTTCCTCTAATCATCAATGACCGCGTTGACGTCGCATTAGCTGTTGGTGCCGAAGGCGTCCATCTTGGACAGGATGACATGAGTTAGTCCCGCTGTCCTGTCTGCTCTACAATTGGGAACTAAGCTCCGTTTGTTGCGCTTGTTTAGGCATACTAGACGCAAAGAAATTGTTGCCTCCTAACGCCTATATCGGCGCGTCAGTATCCTCGAACGAGGAAGCGCTCAAGGCAGTTCAGGATGGGGCTGATTACCTCGGAATTGGAACCGTATTCGCAACGCCTACGTAAGTTACTTGATATTAGAGCTCCATGCTGTCCTTGAGCCTCATGGAACTTGCAGCTTCAAGTTGTGGAATTGGCAATTGACGGTGATAAAGGAAAACCAACACCAAGTCTATTATCGGGCCTGCTGGCACAAGAGAGATTTTGGCCTTTCTTTCCACAATGCCCAGACGAGTCGGAACTGTTGCGATCGGTGGTATCAACTTGTCAAATGTTCAACGAGTTATATACCAATCACAAGCACCACTGAAAAGCCTTGATGGTGCTGCGATTGTGAGCGCGATCATGGCGGCGGAAAACCCGAGAGAAGCCGCCGCATCGTTTTGCAAACTAGTGAAACAAATTCCTGCCTTAGCCACGATTCCCCTCCCTCCTCGGGAGAATGAAGTTACCCTGCTATTAGATCAAGTGCCAGATATCGTCAACCTGGTGGCGACAAGGCGACCCTTATGCCACAATATGATCAATTTTGTGGTAGCTAATTTTGCTGCAAACGTCGCCATTGCAATGTAAGAACTCCGAACTTGTTACTATTCGATAATGTTTATTATGACTGACCCCAATGTAGTGGTGCATCTCCAATTATGTCCGGATATGGCCCCGAAGCAGTTGACCTCGCCAAAAATGGCGGTTCATTATTGATTAATATGGGGACCCTGAATAATGAAAGCATCGATAATTACCTCCAAGCTCTACAGGCGTATAATGCCGAAGGGAACCCTGTTGTGTTTGATCCAGTTGGGGCTGGTGCTACGGATGTTCGCCGCGAAGCTGTGAAAAAGCTCATGGCTGGTGGATATTTCGACCTTATTAAAGGGAATGAAAGCGAGTTGATTCAATTGTATGGCAAAGTCCGCGGGCACCAGGTCGGCGTCGACAGCGGACCAAGTACTTTGAACTGCAAAGAAAAAGCGAGACTTGTCATGGACCTTGCGAAACGGGAGAGTAAGCCTTTTCCATATTGTTCCCTGTACCAATTACTCCTATCCTCTTTTCCTTTTGGCGTGATAAGCACGTCGTTGGAAATCTCAAAGGACACAACACACACAAATCCTCTATAGTACATATTTTCATTCTCCATTATATGCACTTGCATCAGACCGTACTATAGGATTGGGATTAAACAGCAACCAATCTCTTGATTTCGAAATGTATATATAACAAGCAATTTTCCCAGGAAACATCGCCCTTCTCACCGGTGCCGTGGACTACCTGAGCGATGGCGAGCGCACTCTTGCCATTGGCAATGGACACAGTCTCCTCGGACATATTACAGGCGTAAGTCTTACAACTAACATTACTTTGCCTCCGTTCCCCTTTTCTGATTCCCACCTATTCACTGCCGAAAAACAGCCTCATCCTGCTATAAATCACAATCTAACCAACCCAATCTGTTTCCCAGACCGGTTGCATAATTGGCACTATAGCTGCTTCCTTCCTTGCCGTGCACAGAAGTGACAAACTACTCGCAGTACTAGCTAGTTTACTTCTGCTCGAAATTGCTGCTGAGCGCGCTGCCGTGAAAGACGGAGTGCACGGCCCCGGCACCTTTCTCCCAGCATTTATCGATGAACTCTTCGCGTTGAGGATGTGGGCTGTTGAGTGGAAAAATGGCGGCAACAGTTCTGGCGAAGCCTCCAAAACGTCGAACTGTGAGGCTGCTACTGTGGACGAGAATATCTTCAAGAAAATGGCGAAAGGTACACTTAATTACACTTAATTCACCCGTAGGCAGATAGAGAGAGAGAGAGAGAGAGAGAGAGAGAGAGAGAGAGAGAGAGAGAGGAGATGCAGCTTTTTCTTTTTATGGTTCGATGGGGTTCCCTGGGCCATCTTCAGCGATGCTTTGTGGACGATTGGGGCCAAGTTGTTATGAAGCAGGTTTT